TCTGAAATGTCAGAACACTGAATGCTGGCAGTGAATGCTCCATCCTTTCTCTGCTTCCCCCACCCCCCCGCCCCTAAATGGTAAATTACATGCCACTACTGTGTTTAGATATACTATATATGTATGTATTGAAACAATTTGTTCTAGATCCCTCTGAGTGAGAGAGGCTCTTGATGCAAATTAATTGATATTTTGTATATGTCTGTTAGAAGAAACAGTTCTTGGAAGAAATAACAGAACCATATAAAACTGAGCAGAAACGGAATATTTTTGAAACCTACAGTAAGTTCTGACTGGAACAGAAGTTCTAGTCAGAAGAAGCTCCATTCAGAACTTTCAGAAGTTTTGTTTTTAACTAGAGAGGCCAAAATGTTTTTTTTTTTTTTTATTATTATTATTTTTTAATATTTTTTATTATTATTTTTTGTTGATGAAAATATTTCAATGCAATATAAAACTCCCCATCGTTGATGGCTAAAACCATGGAATCTATAGATTCAATGAAACTGCTACTTTTCATTTTGCATATGAAAAATAGATAATGCCTAGAAAGATGTTAACACTTCACTATTGTAAATAAATATATATTATATATAAATAATATGCATTCAGAAATACTATATATACATACAGAAAAAATATATGCATACAGTCATTTTTAAATTATTAAATTACAGTATTTTTATCTGTTACATGCTGACTCCTGGGAAATGTCTAGTAAATATGACCTAGACATTTGTGGGCTCCGGACCTCTCCTGAGGAGAGTAGAATCAGAGGACAGAAGACTTAATAAATGTTCTGTTGTGAAAACAAGCAGAGAAGCTGGTGTGTTAATGTGTAAGGAGGCATTTCAATGTTAAGGAGATGTAGTTTATTGAGAAGGCAACCACTAAATATTGTGTGTGATTTTTGGAGTTAGAAAATGTGTGTACTTCATTCATATGAAGTGAAGTAAATCTGGAAGTGGGGAGGTTATATCTTTCAAAATTAATCCATCCATGTCCTTTGAAAAGGTCAGGTTTCGGCATTAAAGCTCTCATGTAATTTATATGCATAGAATAATAACATACTTTGAAATACTGCTTTGCCAAGGAATGTTCTGTATTTTATGAGTTCTTACATGGCAATTTGTAAAAGATTTTATTTTCATAAACATATTTGAAAGCCAAAAAAAATGGGGGATGCTTTTTTAAACTAGATTTCTTAATTGTACAAGCTTCCTCTGAAAATAGGATGACCCTCAAGAAAGTGTAGGAAAAAAATAAGGAATGCAAGTAGGGAAAATCTATCCTTTGACAGCCATTACAACTAGTTCTGTGAGCTGTGAAAGCCCTAAATGAGTTCTTTATTTATCAAAGTAGCAATGTATCTTTGATCTCTGATAGTCTTTCTAGCTTTCTGATAGTCTCTTAGGTACAGATGAATGTAAGCCATCTCTGTGCACAGCAGTGCATCTATTGGACATTCTGGGGGGACTCAGGAAGATTGGAAACTGCAGCTGCAGATTTCTATATTCTTGTGTATCAATACAGCATGCTTATGAGGATCAGCCAGGTTCTCATTTTTAAATGTTTCTGTATTGATATGGAACAGCACATAATGTAATTAAACTAACTGAAGGTTAATGTTTAAAAGGGTCTATTTAAAAGATGTAAGGGGGAATGATCTATACTGGTAAGAAAAAGAAATCATTACTGTAAGCAGACTATGTCAAAATATTGCCCTTTGACAACCTAGAATCTTTATTAACCATGAGCATATAAGGGATTACCAGGTTGTGAGATGTAGCACAACTCAAAAACCTTGTGCTATAAACTTATATTAATCTCAGAGGCCTACTAACCAAGGTTGTCTTTAATTCTTCTCCACTCCCACCATTACTGAAATGCCCGCTGTCTCTTGAATTCATTGATGGCTTTTACAGCCATGGCTACAAAAGATAATGTATGCTCAAAATTTTCTGCTTGTAGACAAAGAGCTACATGCAAACACCTATATTTGTGCTGTTAGCTTTATATTATTAAGTTTTATACCTTGGCCTTGAAAGCTTATCCTTATTGTTGCAGTTAACTTTTTTTTTTTCTTCTCCAGAAAGCTTTCTTAGCATTAGCTTTTCCTGCAAGACTGTTCTTGTTCATTTCTATTTATTTTAATGTCCTCTTCTAAGTGTTATCCAAACCTGGAATTGTACTTTTTTGCTTTCTCAGATCTTTTGCAAGCATCATAACAGTGCATATGTCAAAAGTGGTACGGAATCACAGAATTAATGTTCAAATGATCTTAGGAATGACAAATTCCAGTTCCTCAATCTTTGCCACCTGTTCAGACTACTCAGGGGCTGACAAAAAAAATAAATATATATATATAAATAAAATAGCAGATTTCTGTGAATCTTTGAGTCAGTGCTTATAGAAATCTACTTACTTATTATCAATTTATATTTTAAGAGGAGCCTGAAATAAAACTGAATATAATCTCCAAAGTATTTTGTTGGTAGTAGAGAATGGGTTTTTATGAATTAAAATTTTATTGTTAATGTTTATTATTTTATTTTTCTTAGTTTCCATTTCATTTCAGTCAAATACAGAGATCATTATTTAGGAGAAACATTGGGCTTCTGTTTAAAACACTGGAGGTTCACCATTGTGGACTTAACCTGGATTTTGCTAATTTGCAGTCAAAACTATTCAAGGAATTCAAATATCTGAAACTTTATGCAAGAGTCTGAGAGGGAAGTTTTTTGTTTTGTTTTGTTTAGCAAAATATATAAGTAAATTATTTTATCAGATCACACTCATTCTCCTAAAGATTTAATTTGCTCACTTGGCGAGCAAATATGATGAATATCTACATATTCATCAAAACGTCTAAGTATCTGTCCTGGATTTCCTGTACTCAATAGAAAGACTAGAGGATGCTGGCTGTGAAGTTTTACTACATCTCTTAGGTTCCACTTGTCTGACAATAGCAAATTAGTCTTTGGATTGATTCTTTATACCCGTATTTGAGTCTGCAGTCTCTGCAGCTCTTTGGCACGTTTCTTTATTTATTCACTTGAAAGATATGTTTGAAAAATATGTCTCCCTTTCCTTGCTTGGCTAGTGGTAAAGCGCATGGCACGTGATGCACTGCAACTGCATTACCTTCCTCCTGTGGTCGGAATGTAGTCTTCTGCTGGGAGTTGTCTGTGCTGTGTTCCTGCCAGAGTGCAGGCTTTCTCCTCTTAGCAGAAATAGCTTATTTCTCAGTTTTGCAGCTGTGAGTGGTGTTCTGGGAGCAGTGACCCAGAAACAGCATCCTATACTAACAGGGCAGGGCTTTCTTTTAACCCTTGGTCTTCTAGTCCTGCTGCTGCTTTCTCACACACATATTTTTAATTGTATTTCATTTATAGCTGTCTTAAAAAACCTATTACAAATCTATTGAAAATATGTTAGTGACCTAAATCCCACTAAAATCCAATACTGATCCTCCAATCTGTGAGTCAGTTGGTTTCTATCTATAGAGATGCCTTGGGATTTTGGAAGTTGTGAGGTAAAAGTTCCTTAAACCTTTTTAGTGAGTGCTTACAAAAGTTTTGATGCTTAGATCTCAATTCTGCAATGTTTGAACACCTGGATGAAACTGATATGTATATTTGACTGAAATTAAGAAGCTCTGCATTCCTTCACCTCTCTCTTCTTGCTCTGGATGGTGCAAATCAATAAGCTTTGCAGTAAAAGCTGGCTCCTCACAGATTACAGTGACAGACTCTTCATGGTCCCACGTGACATCCTAATGTCCAAATTGGAGAGAGATGGATTTGAAGGATGGACCATTCAGAGGATAAGGAATTGTTTTGAAGGCCACACACAGAGTTGCGGTCAAGGGCTCTATGTCCAAGTGGAGGCCAGTGACAAGCAGTGTCTCTCAGAGGTCTGTCTTGGGACCACTGCTGCTTAATATCTTTATCAATGACATAGACAATGGGATGGAGTGCACCCTCTGCAAGTTTGCAGATGATACCAAGCTGAGTGGTGTAGTCAATACAAAAGAAGGAAAGTATGCCATCCAAAGGGAATGAACAAGCTAGATAAGTGGTCCCATGGGAACCTAATGAGGTTTAACAAGTCCAAGTGCAAGGTGCTGCACCTGGGTCTGCGCAATCTCAGACAGAAGTACAACTGTGGAGAAGGACTTGCGGGTTCTGGTGGATGAAAAGCTCAGCATGAACCAGCAGTGTGTGCTTGCAGCCCTGAAGGCCAACTGCATCCTGGGCTGCATCAACAGGGCAATGACCAGCAGGTCAAGGGAGGTGATTGTCCCCCTCTGCTCTGCCCTTGTGAGGCCTCATTTGGAGTGCTGCGTCCAGGTCTGGAGCCCCCAGCACAAGACGGTCTGTTACAGTGGGTTCAGAGGAGGGCCACAAAGGTGATCAGAGGGCTGGAGCACTGTTTTAAACTAAAAGAGTAGAGAGGAGTATGGATTAGATGTTAGGAGGAAATTCTTCTCTCAGAGCATGGTGAGGTGGTGGGCACAGGTTGCCCAGAGAAGCTGTGGATGCCCCATCCCTGGAGGTGTTCAAGGCCAGTTAGATGAGGCCCTGGGCAACCTGATCTAGTGGATGGCATCCCAGCCTATGGTGGGGTGGTGGAACTAGATGGTCTTTAAGGTCCAAGACATTCTATGATTTTAAAGCATGGTCAGAAACAGTGATGATTTTTTCAGTATAGGGGAAATGGGATTCAGTTCTTTAAGAGAATAAAATATCCATTCCACCTTCTGGTGTGAGCACAGTCAGCGTGAGCTTGTTCTCTGTAGAGGGATTGCTGGTCTGCCTGTTCTGCTGAAGCCACTGTGCTGTGTGGGATTCAGATTGGTTAGGCATGTGTAATAGTGCTGGAGAAGGCAGGACTAATGGCCAAAGCCATGAGGACAGTGAAACTGTCCCCATGCTTTCAGGATCGGTTCTGTTGCCTGGTGACATTCATGTAATTCTTAAGCTTTAATAATCACCTACCTGTTGTATTTCTCTTCTGGATAGGTGGAAGTAGCTGCATGCAAAATGTTCTGACTCTAGGTGGCTGGCTTGTTAACATCCCCCCTGGGAGAGTTTTTCTTTTTGGTCTGTTTTTGTTTGTTTTTGTTTAGGGGGTATATAAGAATTGTACGTTTTCTCCATCTGTAAAATAAAATAGAAATAGTACTTCATATGTGAAAAGCTTGTTAATAGCTAAAATTATTACTGGTATTGTGATTTTATGGTATTACCCTCACGAATGACAGAGAGGAAACAAAAAAAATAAATAGGCCTTTTCACATTAGAGCCCTATTTCATAAATCATTCCGCATACTTCAATGCAACATTAAGATTTAAAGCAAGAAATAACCTGAATGAAAATAAATTGATCTCCACATATTTATTTGACATAAGTAATTACTATATTTTGTTATTGCTCACAATATCTAGTTGTGGTTGTAAATCATTTTGAAATTTATTAGTATTAGAGAGGAAAAATGCTAACTGATTTGATCAGTCATTGATCTGATCTGCATATTTTTACTTTTTTTTTTTGGGGGGGTGTATTTTTGAGCACTAAGTAGCTGCATTTTAAAGACCCTATATTTTTAAAATCATAATTTATATTTCACAAACAATATTAAGCCAAATTTGCAAGTATTTCCAGGTGGCCTACGGTCACTTTGGCTTAGTATGTCTTACTCATATCTTAACACCTTCAGTCATGGTACGTGAATACCTTAACTTCTTTTATTCTTAAATTATTTTTGCTTGCACTGCTGAACTGAAACAGTAATATCAGTACTGCATGTCCGCATTTATCTTGTTATTTATGCTCTTCTACTATTGAAGAACAAGTATGACAAGCAAAATATTGGTATCTGCTTAATCATAGAATGATAGAATCATAAAGGTTGGAAAAGACCTTCAAGATGGTCTGGTCCAGCAAAGAATGACAAAAACAGTAATAAATGGAGCCCTAAATTAAATACAGGCAAAGGGACATAGTAAATACATGTAGTGGGTCACCTTCTCAGAATTATTCAGTGCTGTGGAGTGAGGTGATGACAACAGCCAGAATGGAACACTCATTGCATATTTCTCTGGAAATACTTCCAAATATAAGGTGAACAAAAAGATAGTATCTTAGCATCTTTCTAGCTTTATATGTTGAAACTATATATTCTATATTCATTCCAAAATTCATTTTAGTAATTGTCTCTGCTAATATGGTTTCTGAATTCTCCTTTGTTCACTGTAGGTAATGTGAAGTCTCATTTAAAGTTTGAAAGAGCCACAGCATGTGTTTAGTCATGTTAAGAGAAAGCATTTTTGGTTTATGCAACTGTTATAACCCTGCATAAATAAGCAAACAGAAGATAAACTTCTGAAGCTTGTTTGTTTGTTCTTCTCCTTTTTACCTACAAATTCCTGAACTAAAGAGGAGGATGAGCTATGATATCAGTATTGATCTGTATTTCTGTGTATTTTTAATAGAGTATTAGATAGAATTGATATATAGAGAGAGAACCTTTTGAGAGAACCTTCAGAACTGACAGAGAGCAGGGGCATTCTTCTAAATGGGCCATGTGTTTCTGGCATCTTTTTCCTTGTCTGATAAAGGATAAAGGAATGCTCTAGGAAAAAACAAACAAACAAAAAAAAACAAACTCGTGAATGATAGGTTCCATAGATTGAAATAACAACGCTGATGTTCATATGCTGATTTCCTGTTTGGGAGCCCATTGAATAAATATTGAAGAAAGTTTGCAGGCTGTAAAGAAGGATTTTGTTTCTCTTTGAGTTTTGTTTGTTTGCTTGTTTGTTTCTTTGCTTGGAAATTTTGTTTTGTCTTAGTGGATTTTTTTTAAGCAGTGAAAGTTTTCTTTCAGGCTTCCACTGTTATATGTTGCAAACTGAAAAAAACATACAAAGCAAAACTGAGGGTACATCTGACTTCCCAAGATGAAAGCAACCATTTTAAAATATTAAATTATGCTACATTCTTGCAGATGTCACAGGAACAATAACGGATTCCTGTGGAATTCATTCAGAATTTTAGTCTGAGTGTTAAACAATATTGACTACTTGTATTAATAATTTCAAATGGACAAAACAGCAGAGGTATATAGTTATCTGCTCATTTTTCTTCTAACAATTGAAACATTTTAAAGCAAAGATGACATTGAGATACCACTGAAATTATGCCAGAGGTAATACCTCCATTCATTCTTCTTTATGGTCACTTGTAGTATGGAACACTGCACCTGTGATTCATAGAATTATAGAATGGCTTGTGTTGGAAGGGACCTTAACAATCATCAGAGATACCAACCTGCTCAGAGTTGCTCAAAGCCCCATCCAACCTGGCCCTGAACACCTCCAGGGATGGGGCATCCAAAGCTTCTCTGGGCAATCTGTTCCAGTGCGTCATCACACCCCTCCTCACATCTAATCTAAATCTTCACTCTTTTAATATAGAATCACCTCCCTCCAGCCTTGTCTGAGTATTATCTGCCTAAGCAAAAAGTTGCTCTTCATTTTTTTTTATTTTTATTTTAAGTAAGCCCCCTTTAAAGTATTGAAAGGCTACAATGAGGTCTCCCCAGAGAAGGCCCCCGGGCCTTCTCTTCTCCAGGCTGAACATCCCCAGCTCTCTCAGCCTTTCTTCATAGGAGAGGTGCTCCAGCCCTCACAGATCAGCTTTGTGGCCCTGCTTTGGACCCACAGTAACAGGTCCACATCTGTCTTGTGCTGGGGGCTCCAGACCTGGATGCAGAACTCCAAGTGGGGCCTCACAAGGGAAAAGCAGAGGGGGACAATCACCTCCCTTGACCTGCTGGCCACTGCTCTGTTAATGCAGCCCAGGATGCCGTTGGCCTTCAGGGCTGAAAGCACACACTGCTGGCTCATGTTGAGCTTTTCATCCACCAGAACCCTCAGGTCTTTCTACTGACAGATTCAAGTCTGATTCCTGACAGATGTGTCTAATGTGTCATGCAGCTTAATCAGGAGCGAAGTACCTCATGGGTGATATGTCTGACAGAGGATTGTATTTCTTACAGGAAAACTTGGTCTAAAGATACATGGAGTACAGTTCTCTTGAGGTATTGCCAAAAGACACCATTTAAAAAACAAATAAATGTTTTTTCAATTTACAACAGACCAAACTGAGATACATACAGTTTGATTTTTTTTTTTTTAATTATTATTATTTTTATTTTAAAAGGAAGAATGTGATGTTATTTTGCAAGGAAGTGACATTAGTTAGGAAAGAGGAATTAGGAATTTGGTGTAAAGTGAGAGTATAGTATAAAAGTTACTTTTAATCAAAGTGATTTTTTGGAAGTTATCTGTATGAAACTTAAAATTCATCTTTAGTAGGTCCATTTACAAAGAAAAATATGTGAAGGAAAGTAGTTCTTTTCAATGTTGTGTATTATATGTGAAGTCTTAAGAACACAATGGGAGCATGTCTTATCTTTTTGTTTACTTTTTTGATCTTTTTTATCAATGAGTTGGATATTACACTGAGCCTGATGGAAAAGGAAGAAAAGAAAAACTGAAACTGTAATTTCAAATGAAATGTCAAGATTTTCATAAAGTACACATTGAGCATAGGCATGTGCTCATTGACTTTCACTAAAGTTTATATTGAAACTCATTCTGTCTTAGTGAGAGCAGGATTCCTTAACTGAGTCATTTCAATATATATATATTATTTATTATTTTTTAAAGAGAGAATTACTGTTTCTATAGCATTCCAGGTCTCTTAATAAAGTAGATTATAATTTTTTTTAATAATTATAATATTTTTTTCCCTCTATGCATCTACTCCTGATATTTATAAGAAATATCAGAGAGGAAAAAAAAATTGTTTGTTTAAAGAAGAAAAAGTCATGGAGGCCTATTTGAACTGTCCCTACTGCGCCAAAGAGCTGTATATATTCATGCAGTAAAAACTTATCCTTTTTAAATATTTTTTCTATTATGTGCAATATTTTCTCTAAAAGTAATTTTAGAGATGACAGTAAAATCTACTCATTGAATGAATTCTTACTCATTGTAAAACACCAGAAATGATGCAAGTGTTTTAGTTCATATTCTACAGATGATAGTAACTCTGAAAAACCTTCTAGTATAGCATTTAATTGGTTTATATAGGATTTCATACATTTGGAGACATAGGATTTAATCTATTTTGTTTTCAGTTTATTGTCAGCATTCAAGACAATGGACAGAGTAGATTCATTAGAAAGAAGGCACAGAATTGAACTGTAAAATGAGTGCACAAAACTACCTGGGTTTTTATAGATGGATGCATTCATTTTGTGAATTTGCTGATTAAAGAGTTTCATGTATAGACATATCTCTTCAGGATAGCTTAATTTCAAATGTTCAGAGATGGTATTCCTGCCTTTGTGCATTTTACATGATTTAGTAGTAAATACAGAATGAAATCTCTGGCTGCATGAAGCAACTTTTAAGATGAAGCTGTGGTATACAGAGCATCCAGCTTTTCCAGCACTGTTTACTTGACTGGCATAATTAGCCATATAAATTGAGCATGTCCAAGGGAAGCATTTGAATCTTATGACATTAAAATCAAAAAATCAAAGGGAAACAAACAAACAAAAACCTTAATTGGCATGGCAGTATTCTATTCTATATTCTGCTTCATTGGTTTTGGTGTATCCAAAAAAAAAAAATTAGTAGCATTCAATATATTGCAAAGTAGGACTGAAAATCTAATCTCAACCTTTTAATAATTTCTGTATCTGTAGCTAATGATGAATAGAAATATAATACTAAAATGCAAATAATAGTGATTCTAATTAAAATTACATTTACAATAGTGAAACTACTGTTTCTCACAAAGTCACTCTTGTTTTTAAGTTAACATAAGAGATGTGTCTGTCAGTGTTGTTTTTAAAGTCCGTGGAAAGTTATATGTAGTATAAAGTATTTCCCCAGCTGGCAGGAGATAAAAAAAAAAAAAAAAAAAAAAAGTGTTAATTTGTTCTTTAGGAAGCTTAGTTACAATTTCACCGTACATCTGTTTGGAAAGAAGTTAAAGATGTATCTTGGTCTAACCAATAAGATTTTTTGACAGACTTCAGTGAAAATTGGTAAAGTCTCATAATCTGTTTCAAAGATGTTTCCCTTCATTGATCATAAGTTTATGTGAAGGGTACATTTTTACCAAAATGTTCTAAATATTAACAGATGCCAAGGAGTTCAGGTTCTTACACTCAGAGAATAAAGTGTGGCAGTTCTTTCACATAACAGTGGTGTTTTTGTCAGTGACACTTTCATCTGACGACTTATGGCCCTCCTTAGATATGTATGCGAAGAACAATGGCAATTCATTACTGATGTTAAATTTTATACAGGTTATAATCGATGTTATATTCTCATAGGCAGACCTCATTCATATTTCCTAGAATACACTCAAGTATCCTTATAGATAAGAAATATCTGTGCTGTTCTATATCCATTTAATGTACATTTGATATACAAGTGAGTAGAAGGGATTAAGCCCTTAAATATCTTGTATGCCAAACATAATATCTAGTATTTGGCACATAATAAACTCTTCCTATGACACGTAAGCTTTATTCAGGATGAGAAGGCAGACTTTGGAGGTAAAGAACTGCCAAATTTACCATTATTTCTCTTGTAAATTGAATCTGTGAAGGGCCTTAAATTTATATGTGACAATCATAAATTATTATTTCACGTCTAGTTTAGTAGTCTGCCAAAATTGAAGTTATTAATATTTCGTAACTGGCTAGACATGGGATGTCTTGGACCAAAGACAAAGGAATAATTTATTTTTAGGCCTTTCCCTGATGAATTTATAAAGCTTATTGCAAGAGGCAAAAATGCCACTGCTTATCAAAAAAGGGCATAAATATGTGAGTAGAAGGTGTTGGTCAGCTTTAAAATGGTTGTTTTTAACAGCTCCATACATATAAAAAAAAAAAACAACATGACCCTGCTATTTTGAATGTTTTATTTAACATTCTTGAATTTAATTTTACGTTAAAAAATAATAATAATTTTAAATGTTTGTTATATTACTATTCATAGAAATTATGGGGTATACATAATTATAATTGAAATGAATAATACAACTACACAGTTGAGTCTGATACCAATTTGATATGAACACCAGACCACCTGACTTTTAACATGACTATTGATTTTTAGATCATGGTGGTAGGATTAGTTCTATACAAACACTGTGTTTATTGTAGAAACACTGCTGAAAGATGTACTACTCAGTATTTATGATTATTAACAACATGTGTAACGGCACAACTAATTTTATTTAAATATAAGATGCTTCATGTGCAAGTCTGGAATGTACAGCCCTATAAAACATCTTAGAGTTTGTATTGATACCATACAGTATGATTTATTGTGGTAGCTGCTGTGTTAAAGGAGTGAATCTCCTACTCTATGAGTAGGAATTGAGGCTTTGATGCAATTTATTTGCTGGTCCTAGGTCTGCAAGCTGCTATATTCAAAAAGTAATATTAGAAAAATACTGATTCTAGTCATAAAACACTATGTGTTGTATGTGTATACACTGTATGTGTATTTGAAACTTTGTGCTTTGTAGCTGCAATGG